CAGTTCTATTTAGAATCAAAGCTTTCTACAATTGTTTTCATAATAAAATTGATTACTATAAACCAGTAGATTGCTTACAACCATTCTTTTCTCCAGAATACACCTTGGTAGGTTTTTGATACTTCTAGCCCTTAGCTCATTTCTCATAGAGGACACAAGCTATAAAATGAAAATTTTGATACAATGACAAAGTAACATTCAACAGTAGTAAAGGATAGAAAAGGAATGTACACATATGTGTAGATTGTAGATAATGCATACATACATAAACTTGAAATGGTGAATTAACAGGTAGAGTAAACTATTGATGCAACAATTTTATTACTACAGAATGATCATTTAAGATTTAATAAGTGTATACATACGTACATACATATATGTATTAAATTATGTAACTTCAAACTGATAAGTCTGTGGCAGAAATTAATTAATCTAGACTATTCTAGACCCATTCAAAACTCTTGCCAAGGAAGTTGAGAACCTCTGAACAAGCATTCTCATGCTAGGGAATATTTGAAAAAATCCCCAGACATAGCATTGCCAATACACACATATTAAATACTAAATTATCCAAGAGAGGACTATAAAGAAGGGGAAAAATCACTACCAAAGCAGACTTGAGAAGGCAAGGTAGGTTGCGCAATTCGTAAAGATGTCGTTCCATGAATTTAATCCATTCACTGGTCGTTTAAAACAATCCACGAAAGTACAACCTCTTTATCCAGTAGTAAGTACTTAATAAATTTGTAGCAAATAATAAATTACAAAAAATGTTTTCATCTGGCAAGTATTCATTTAAAACAACAATGATACCTTAGTACTGGAACACTGTATTTTTGTAATCATTTGGAATCCGATTTTCTAATTACTCTACAATATAATCTTTAATGAGATAACAAGTATTTAATCATTATGTGTGATTACTAAATCACAAGAACATCACAAAGAATTTCATACTGTATAACATGCCCATGTTTATGTAATATATGCTGTCAAAGCCTAACAAAATTATGAAAGCGCCATTTATATGTACATATTTATTAATTGTTATTAGAGCATAATAAACATTTGTATGTATGTATGTATTAAAGAATCCTCGTCCACTGCAAAGCATAGAAATAGACATAATGTATGACTCAATTAAAACTAAACCAGTGAAGACCACTGCACCTGGCACAGCTGGTTACTCCACATTGGATCCAAAATTGGCTAAACTTTACAGAAAGTACCAGGTATAAATTCATATTTATTTTATTAAAGAATAATAGACTTGTGTTATTTATACTAAAAGTATTTTCTTTACAGGCTAATTTGGAAACCTACTCCTATACCTTGGGAGGTAGGAAAGACAGGATTCTGGTGGCTGCCACTGTTCTTCTAACTGTAACTGGTTTCGCTGCAAACGTGTATAACTTAATAAAATTACAATCTAAATAAAAATCTGAAATGTGATTTAAGCATAGATACATCTAGGGCAATTTCTATAGATGATATATTGTAATATCACTGGTCGTTTATCGACAATAAAACTGTAAAAACTATTGTGTCTCCTGCTTTCAATTGTTCCGAAATCTTGTTCATTTGACCAAAAACACAACATACATAATATCTGATTAATCTTAGATATAGATAAAGTTTTTACTTGTTACCACCAGGTGGCTGTAGCGTTTATCAGACTGCTACAAGGCATAAGATGCAACATATTGCATTTGTCAACATCAATTGAATTGTTATGTGTAAAACTAAATTACAGGAAGAACCTATAATTGTTGAATGTCAGAGATAATTCATTAAAAATGGATGATAATTCAGCTCCAGTTACTGTGTTCCACCCTATTATCTCTTCAATACAAAAGATTGCACTTTATGAAACAAAATCAGTAAGATTACTATGCATATAATCAATTATTTATATGATACTAGAAGATTAAATAAACAATAAATCATTGATATTAAATGTTTTTAACAATATAATTTAATTCATTTCACAGAGATTTTACTTGATGGGATCAAACAACACTTTAACTCGTTTCAGAGTATTAAAGATAGATCGTATGGAATCGAAAGAATTAATTGTTGTAGATGATAAAAGAGAATACACTCAGGATGAAATAAAAGATCTTGTAAAAATGATAGATATGGGAAACCGTACACGCAGTGGACAAAGAAATAATGTTGGTGGAGTTGCAAGAGCTGTTTCAGCTTTTGGTATTGTCGGTAAGAAACTGAAATTTCCTTGCAATGTTTCCATTCATTACAATCTCTTTGAGCATGTTCGTGCTTTTATTATATATGCTATTTCCACATTTTAATTATCTTTTGCATTTGCATACACATATGCAAATTGTAAACAGTACACAATTTTATATATATATATATATATATATATATATATATATATATATATAAATACATATTTCATTAATTTATTAGCATAGGACTTTTCCCCCAAATTCGAGATACACAATTTTGCATGCTGTTCACTGTTTCACTGCATGTAAAATGTACTCCAGCATTAGATACAAAACATCCCATATTTTCAATAACATTAAAATGATGGTATTGGTAAAATCATTAAAAAAAACTTGCATTGCTTATTTATATTTGCTTGCTAACAAAGGCAGCAATTACAAAGAATCTACACCTGATAACGGTGTGTCAGAAGAGTCTGAGCACCAAGAATCTCAAAAGCCGCTGCACAAACCGACTCAAACTAAATTTACCTGGAAAACAATGTGGCAGAGAGACAGTTTTCCTCGACTAGTGCCAGCTTTCGGCCTTCTTGGTAAGGGCTATTGAGCTTAATATTCAAACAACTAACATTTTATATGGAGTACCTCCAATAAGAAGTCACATGGTTCAATTCTTTGAAAGGGTACATGTTAATGTTCATTCGCAAAATTATAATTTATTCAACTCTATAAAATTTGTATAACAAGAAAATTTTTGTAATAAAAGCATGGCTTTAATATGCTAATGGTCATACACTGTAATATTTTTATAAGAAATGATTCAGTCGAAAATTGAATTTTTTAAATCATTATAATATATATTTTTTGTTCTCCGTATTAAGAACACAAATATTCCACATGTGTAATATAATGCAAGTCATGTACAGAGTGCAGCGGATATCGTAGTATTATCGACGCGAATCTACGTGCAGAAATAAGCAGAAAATTTATTTTCATGTTTTTTCACATAGAATCGTTTTCGTTTTATTTACGGCTCCACTCTGTGCATTTTAGCATGGTATAACATAATTATTGCACGTGATTTTATTTGCAAATATGGCCTTAAGCATGTTATATGAACTGTGCGTTAGATATATGTATCAAAACATATTTCTTCATCAACCGCTTAGGATTGTTTTAAATCGTTAATAATTTTGCAATAGGTTTTGTGCGTTTTTTGGAGGGGTACTATATAATCCTGGTAACCAAACGACGCAGAGTCGCCGTAATCGGACATCACACGATCTATAAGATCGAGGACACCTCGATGATCTATATACCGAATGACACCGTGCGTGTTTTCCACCCCGACGAACAAAGATACGTAAAAATGTTCCAAAGCATTGATCTGCGCAGCAACTTTTATTTCAGTTATTCCTACGACCTAACGCACACTTTGCAGTACAATATGTGCACTCCAAAGCATATTAAATCGAATATGCCAAATGATTCTGATAATGTTTCAAATCAAACGAAAAACGACGATGTCGAAGATGCGGAGGACTTTTTTAATATGTGGGCGGTTCGAAAGAATTATAATATTAGGTGTGTAACTGAATTGACATATTATCTATTGCAAGGTTTGTCTGATTCACAAGAGACCAAAATCTAATTCAAGAATTGACTTACAATTATTTTTAACAGCACAGATAAATACGTTGATTACGGTATAAGAAATAATCCACACCGCCGATTTGTTTGGAACTCACACCTTCTGATGCCAGTCGAGAAAGATTTGCATCGAGACTGGATTTTGTACATCATACACGGTTTTATTGGACAATCGAATGTTAGTATTTTTGGGAGATCCATGTACGTAACCGTGATTGCCAGAAGAAGTAACAAATATGCTGGCACCAGATTTTTGAAACGCGGTGCAAACTTTGATGTAAGTTCAGTTGCATTCGTTTCTTTAAACGCCATTTTGGTCTAATAAATCTAATTATCTAAATAAAATAAAATTTGTTATTTAAGGGGGATGTTGCCAACGAAGTGGAAACAGAACAAATCGTTCACGATTCCGGGGTGAGTGCTTTGAGCAAGGGTCGATATAGCTCTTTCGTTCAAATGAGAGGGTCGGTTCCTGGCCACTGGAGCCAAGATGTTAGCAAAATTGTTCCTAAGCCCACTATCACTTGTGATTTGGCTGACCCTTATGTAGAAACTGCAGGTAAATCATGGCTAAGGTTAAGTATAAAATGTGAACGATATTTAATTGAAAATTAACAATTACAGGTGCACATTTCAATCAACTCTTGAAGAGATACGGTTCCCCAATAATAATCCTCAACCTCGTTAAAAAACGAGAGAAGAAGAAGCACGAAAGTACGCTAAGCGAAGAACTATGCATGGCTGTGAAATATTTAAATCAGTTTTTACCCCTGGAACACCATATCCAATACATAAGCTTCGATATGGCTCGAATGAATAAAAGGTATAGTATATACTTAGGTACTAAAAAAGATTTATACTTAAAAGAGAATTAATCTTTTTAGGAAAAGGGTCAACGTCATGACTCGCCTAGCAAACATAGCATACAATGCAGTTTTAAAAACTGGCATTTTCCAGTCCCAAAAATCGTATTACAGTCAACAAAATTTATTTTCGCCGCAATCTAATAAGAAAGTAAATAAAATAAATTCGAGCACGTTTTCGTCAGTTAGCTCTTATAATATTCGAAGTCCTATGGATTCAGCACCTGATAGTGTTACTAGTTCTTCTATGAATTATAGTACTGACTCTAAATCGGCTATGGACCGTAGTGCAGAATTAAATCAAATAGAAAATAAAGTAAGACAATGTTTCGGCCGTAAAGGCATGTTGCAAACTGGTATTATTAGAACAAATTGCGTCGACTGTTTGGATCGTACAAACACCGCACAATTTGCTATAGGAAAATGTGCCTTGGGATTCCAATTGTGTGCTCTAGGAGTGTTAGAGTCTCCAAAATTGGAATTCGACTCTGATTGTGTGAGAATGCTGGAGGAATTGTATGAGGATCACGGAGATACATTAGCATTGCAATACGGTGGTTCTCAGTTAGTGCATAGGATAAAGACATACAGGTAAAACCAATCTTAAATTAGATATATGAATCAAATTCTCAAGAAAATGTTGTACCGTTATTTAGGAAGACTGCTCCATGGACTAGTCAGGGTAACGACATTATGCAGACTTTGAGCAGATATTATAGTAACACATTCAGTGATCAAGAAAAACAACATACAATCAATTTATTCCTAGGTAAATTAATGTATTCATAAGAATTCGCGTATGGTAGGATTGATTAAAATAAGTGGAAATAAATTGGACAGGATTGTTCATACCTGAGGAAGGGAAGCCACCTATTTGGGAGCTTGTTACCGATTACTATCTTCATCATAAACCGGCATGTCAATACACTCGCAGAATAAAGCTGTTAACACAGTGGTGGGATACCAACGTGTTAAAGTGTCTTCCTTACGCATTGAATGAAGTAACAAAGGCCTGTACAGAAATAATACAAGTACAGAATTCGGTAGAGGAGATGATTGATGTTTACTATGATTTCCATAGGTATTGTAAACATTTTGTCACATTAAAATGTTCATGTCAAATACAAAAAAGAATTTCTGCAGGCCTTATGAACTGTCCGCGATCTCTGAGGTATACGCTTATAAAATTAGTCATTCTGTAAGAGATTTCATGCCGCAATGTACAACAAACTTTAGTCCGTTTGCGGTTCGAGTACGAAGAAGAAGAGGAGAAATTGATAATAAAAATCTAAACATGAAGAATCCGTCCATGACTGGACAGAGTAGCACTAGTAGCACCATTTCCAGTGCAAGGTATTGTTAATTTGACATTCCGGTTCACATAGAGTAACAATTAAAATGATGAAATGTTACGAGAAAAGAATATATTTTCTTAAATAAGCTCTGAAAGATAATAATAATGAGATCTATTTAATTCATAGTTCTACTGAGGATTCTAGTTCAGACGACGACGATAGCCATCAGCATACTAATGATTCTCAATTGATATCTTCCAAAGAAAGTTCGGAATTGATATCGTTTGAATCATTGTTCCCGTCTATGAAAGAAGTATATGGTACTCAGCCAGACTATCCTAAGAGGAACGATGTAGTATTATATAAGAAGTAAGCGACTAAAATATGGTTTCTCATTTTGTAAATATGGATTTTATGTGCCTATAAAATTTCTTTTTATATCTTTATAGATTTGTACTAATTGCACGGAATGCAACATATCCTTTGGACAATACTAAATTACGATCGAAACTGATGCAACAGGCATCATTTCTAGAGACTACAACACCTGTAATCGCGCTTCCCGAGGTGAAGGAATGTAGCATAAGTATATACGAACAATATGTTAACAGAGCTAGCGTGAGTACATGAATCTTAAATATTAATTAATGATTGTATCTTGATTTAATATTGTGTTTCTATTACACAGGCTGGTGGATCAATACCAAGTCCCAATGATATGAACTTATATGAGAGTTATGCCAAACAGCTGTATAAACCATCAATATGTACAAATTGACTAAGTTCTATAATAAAATAAAAAAGTTGTAATATTTATTTTTTAAATAAAAACCTGATCCTAAAATAAACATACATGTTCTTTATAATGTATATACTTCGTACTAGTTAGTACAGAAACATTTTATAGAACCATGTCGATTTTTTATACGTTTTTTATTCAAATATTTTTATGAGGTACATAAACTTGCCAAATATGCAAGCAGAGCTCTGTGGTATACTGTCTACTTCAGCTTCTTTTTGGGACGAATATTATTTGTGTGGCCACACTTCTTTTTACGACAGTTGGTAGCACGTGGATGCAAGCGAGCGTAACACTTTCTGCAAATCATCTTGTCACAGTTGTATTTCTGGGCAAGAATACGAAGTGTAGGCTCAATGACACCTCCTCGAAGTCTGAGCACAAGATGCAAAGTGGATTCTGTCGAATAGATACAAATTACACAGTATTGTAGATACATGATATAGCTCAGATCCATGGGGACACATGTACATATAAATAAATAAATTACAAATTAATAAAATCACATACCTTTCTGAATGTTGTAATCAGAAAGAGTGCGACCATCCTCTAATTGTTTTCCGGCAAAAATCAGACGCTGCTGATCTGGAGGAATTCCCTCCTTGTCCTGGATCTTCGCTTTCACATTTTCGATGGTATCTGACGCCTCTACTTCGAGGGTGATGGTTTTACCCGTAAGGGTCTTCACGAAGATCTGCATCGTGGCTTGACTAAATTATAACAGAAAGAAACCGTTAAGAATATCCCAAAAATAATGGTAACATAAAAAGGTCACGTTGTCAATGCACCTGCCAGTCGGTAGATTTTGCAATCGGTTTAACACGTTTCTAGTTTTATGGGTGGACTTGATTGATTCTATCGTTTAACTTTAAAAAAGTGTGATAAAACAACTGGAAATTTTCACCGACATTGCGTTGACGAACGTGTTCTAGCAACGTATCGTGTCGCGATTGTTTTTGAAGACCATTTGTTTAACCATTCAACTGATTGACATTATTGAATAGGAGAATCGATTAAAGAGCGACAAATGGAACGTCTTCACAGTATCATGGTAACGAAAACGTCTTAAATTAATTAAAAATATGGAAAAAAATATTGGACACTCACCGTTCTGAAAACGTGCTTGCCGCAGAAACTCAGCCTAAAAGAAACTGTGGGGGCAGCACTACAGCTTCCGTTATCGAAAAAACGGAAGTAGTGCTGCCACCTGGCAGCCATCATGGAAGTTCGAGGTCGAATTTGAGTGGTGAGTTCTGCGCATTCCTCTCACTTTTTATCTATTTCTTTGTTAATTTAGGATTTTACACTCCTTAAATTCTATAGCATCTTAATTATTAAGCTTTTCTGCATAGACCGTAATAATTATTTCTGGTTAACACTCGATATTTGTAGAGTTATATTGAAAATTCGATTACCGTCCATTGAGCGACGCAATTTGAATAATCCCAACTATTACAAAATGCTTAATTCTTTCATCTTATTTCAGGGAAATGTGCTATGGAGGACCCAAACTGCAGATGAAGTAGAGAACTCGTTGCTTTTGATGCAGACCACAACAAATCTTGGTAATGTTAAATAATACTTCGATTGTAACCTTCTCTTATAAATTTTAATGATTGCTAATATGGCGGGCCGCTCGAAGCGCCACTGACTAATATTTAATTTTCCGTCGTAATTTCTCGGAGTTTCTTTCTGTTATTATATCTTAATATTGATGTATAATTGTGAATAACTGTTTTTGTACAACTTTTATACATAGAATTTTAGAATTGCTAAGTAATTCTTTAGGGTATAAGCGAGAATGATTAGTTTTAGAAATTAATACAAGAGGAAAATAGAGTTTCGAGCTGGTGGACTTTAGGAGGAGTCCATTAGTTCTTTCTAGAATTAAGAAACTATTATTTTAGGAAATGTCAGGATTTGTAAGTAATATTATATGAGAAAGAAATATATATTTTTAATATATTTGAGCTAGTGGGCTTTGGGAGGAGTACATTAGTTCTTTCTAGAATTAAGAAACTATTATTTTAGGAAATGTCAGGATTTGTAAGTAATATTATATGAGAAAGAAATATATATTTTTAATATATTTGAGCTAGTGGGCTTTGGGAGGAGTACATTAGTTCTTTCTAGAATTAAGAAACTATTATTTTAGGAAATGTCAGGATTTGTAAGTAATATTATATGAGAAAGAAATATATATTTTTAATATATTTGAGCTAGTGGGCTTTGGGAGGAGTACATTAGTTCTTTCTAGAATTAAGAAACTATTATTTTAGGAAATGTCAGGATTTGTAAGTAATATTATATGAGAAAGAAATATATATTTTTAATATATTTGAGCTAGTGGGCTTTGGAAGGAGTCCACTAGTTATTTCTAGAATTAGAAAACTATTATTTTAGGAAGTATCAAGACTTGTTAGTAATGTTGTACGAGAGTGAAATATATTTTTAATATATTTGAGCTAGTAGGCTTTGGGAGGAGTCTACTAGTTCTTTTTAGAATTAGAAAACTATTATTTTAGAAAATATCAAGACTTGTTAGTAATGTTGTACGAGAGTGAAATATATTTTTAATATATTTGAGCTAGTAGGCTTTGAGAGGAGTCTACTAGTTCTCTTTAGAATTACTATTATTTTAGAAATAGCTTTTTTTTTAGACTTTAAGACGCTTCTAACATAGGACATTTTAGAAGAACTATGTTACCTGTACCGCAATAAATATCTCAGGCAATTAAAGGAACTCTTAGACAATTAAACAAAAATAGAGATTCGGATGAAGATCCGTAATCCAGCGGCTACTTTTCACCCACTTCGATGTACTAAGCGTGTCATTAATAAGATAACTAGCCAAACAGTTTTGTCGAAGCAGTCTTCACGCCGTAATACTAAAGTAGGTTCAACGCAGAGTACAAAGTGGCAAGAGGTGGTAAGTGAGAACTGCTCGCGGTGGTATTGCTCGACTACCAAGAGCCCCGGTGTATGATGTATTAAGGACGGTCGTTCTTATTGCGTGGCGGTTACGGCCACGGAATTACGATTTTGAGTTATTTCGGCGTATCTCGCCCAGGATACGTTCGTAATTTCGTATTTGTGGAAACGCCGGGATGCTTGTGTACAGGTATATCCGAAGCGTATTGCGGGGAAACGCGCGTTACATCCGATGTACAGCTTCCTCGAGAACACGAAGGTTCTGCGCCTCGGGCCACGGCGATATGCAAATTTCAGTAGTAACCCTTAAACTTTACACTCTGACCTAGATGCTCACCTGCCTAAAGGCCTCGCAATTAAACGTGTTTTACAGCTTCCTGTGCAGGAGCAGCCGCACCGCGCAGCCCGGCGACGCTCGCCGATTTATTAATTAATCTTAATTGGCCGACTCGATTCCGATCGGTACATATTTCATATCGTAATTGGAGCATCAGCCACGAATCTTTTCGGGAACGTCCCATTAGCTGCGGAAACACCGATAACAGCGTGGTGTTTGTAGGCCGTAGGGCAGGTGTAAGTTAGATTGCCAGGTGCACTATGTTTCGCGTAGCGAAACCACGCCTACTTAGAGCACTTTGTTCTATGGGAACGACGTAGTTCGGCAATGCTAAGTGCTAAGTTCAGATTAATTATTATAGTTGAAATATTTGATCAGATGGATCCGAGAGAGTGGCGGCAGACCGAAGCGGAGGCAATCCTTAGGAATTAGTATCAGGATGACCATAGTACCTTGGAAACTTCTAGGGCATTTTACCGCGTGTTGTCACAGTAAGCAGAAGACATTTTCTTTTTTTTCTTTCATCGAAAAGAGATAACGTTACTTATTGTCTTTGAATTCTAGGATCCGGATAGCTCATATTCGCCTTATACCGTGGATCAAGGCTGGATAAGCCATCGTCCAGGTTTAATTCTGTCTCAGTAGGTGCTAAAACATCGCACAGACTCTCCGAGCTGATGGTGTCCTATTTGCTAAGATCTCGCAGACGGAATAGCGGCGGCAGGGAGCGAGGAGAAAGTTAGTCACGATTTCGGATGTCGGGGACGGTGGCCGGATAGCACGAATGATTCGTTGAATTTCGTCCGCGGGAATATCCGAGATATACCGGGCGATCTCTCGCGGGTATACGTCCCCGAGAATGCGTTCCATAAACTCGAATGAGTTTCGCGATACTTTGAAGAGGTATAGGAAGTTTTATGATACTCCGACGGCTCCGGATGCCTTTGCATTCGTTGAACGTGAATCCCTGTATATCACCTAAGTCGCGAGGCGGCGCGTTACATGTAAGGAGGTAGATAAAAGGAAATACGGGAAACGCGGGAGGAGAGGGGGCCCGAGAGAAGGATGCGTAAAACGTGTCATAAATTTCGGCGGCGGTGTGCGCCGGCTACGCTATGAAAACCGCTGACACGGCTCGATCCGCGTATTTACGTTTAACGCGTCAGCGAGCAACACTTGTTGGCGAGTGTATGATGCCTCCCTTTTGCCAGCGGGGGCTCGTAATCGGAACGGGGACCTACCCCTTTCGGTCTAAACTGGTCCGCGATCGATGATAGAAAACGGGGAACCGGTTGGTCTTCGCTCAAAGTTTCGCTGAATGTTGCGGCGACCAAAGTACAATTTGCAGTCTTGCCGACAATTCGTAGACGCATCTGCGGAATGGTAAAATCCTTAGAACGTGGACTCGGATATCTAGATACGTCTGTGGAAAGCGATTCTCTTGCGTACAAAAATGTATTTCACGCGTCTGTCGCTTCGGATGCGATAGTTGAGAGGTTCGATAAGTTGGAATAAATTTGTCAGTGAATGTGCAACGATAATAACGTCGTATATTCAACAATTTAAGCGATTGTGAGTAATTGTGGATGATCATATGATGCTCACTGTTCAGAAGGTATTAGAATAATAATTTGTTTAATGTGAATAATTAGACGTAATTGATTATATTAATATATAATTATATTAACTTAATGTATAATTGCATTAATTTAATATATAATTATATTGATATATAATTCATTATCCGTGAATAATGTGAATAATGAGAAAGAGGAAATAGCAGTTTCGCTACAGTAAACTGGCGAGATATTAAAGGGCATTGTACTCTATTTTATCCCCGCTTTCATTGGCCGCACTGCGCCGTCGTCCCGCGATTGGTCGCGCTACGCGTAGGCGTGGCCAGGGACGCGCCGCTACAGAGGGAACTTGGATCGCAGAGTTTCTTTCGCTGTTAATGGAAACGTCTCGATTCTCAATTCGTTTGCATCGATCTCGGCACGGAACCGAGTTATCGAGCCGGAATAAAGTTAGCCGCGGAGTCTCAAGGCTATTGTGGGAATTGAACGGTAACTGGATTTAGCCTCGGATGGACCAGGGAACGCGAATCGCCGCGTTTCGGGCCCGAACCAACGTTGATATGGATATTTGATGGGCTTGTCAACGTTGCATCGGGAACAATGACACAGCTCCGCCGTAAATAACGAGCAGCGCGCACTTCGTCTGTAATTTCGTTCAACAAAGAATCGATCGTCGAGAGAGAGAGAGAGAGAGAGAGGGGTGGGGGGAGAGGGAGAGGTGCCGAGACCGTGAGAGAATCGCGCGATTCAATTATAATGTTACGCAACTTCCGGCTCGTTTGCCTACAAACGGACAGCGCTAGAAATTAATCGGGTTGCGTCTGCTGCTTTGAACGACGGCCGATGGAATTTGATCGACCCTGGCGCGATATTGGAATGAAACGCGTTGCCGATGCATTTGTATCGTTGCATTCTACAATCTAGAAACAGTCCGAGAGGGTCGATCAAAATTTTGAGCTAGAATTAAGTCCAGCAAGATCAGTGGCTCTCTCGGAGTTTCTCGCGTATGCTTCTGTATGCCAGTCCGCAAAATTTCATCGATCCGCGGCTACTCTATGCGACGAGCGATTCGGTACAAACGTGATCCTGCGTCGCCTAAAAATGGAAAGAGACCGGGCCGGATTTAGAAAAGTCATATCGATCACGTCACCTAAATTCCGCCCCTTTCCTCCTCTTCCAAGCACAGTTCCGTCTTGCCGTTAATATTATCCGTAGAAGCCGCAAATCGTGGTATTCATCATCATTGTTCACGGCGTTTTATCGCGCGTTTCGCGAGCACAGCGACCATGAATCGACGCAAGAAGTTTCGTTAAAAACGTGAACGTCGAGGCGAACACCTCGCTCGACAGCCTCGTCCGCCGTAAAGATCGCGCGCGGAACCCGCTCGAAATCGGCTGTAACCGTAAATGGCTGCTCTGCCAGAAGAAGTTGTTACAATGCCCGCAGTTTAGAGCGCGAAATTCCGGGCACTTTTGTTCGCACGATGTACCGCTAGCCTTTCGCGATACCCCGTCGACGATGCGAGACGGTGTCCTGTTAATTTGTTTGCGAACGCGCGCATAGCGCGCGTGGGCGCGCGGAGCCCCGCGACGACTGTTTTACAGCGTATTGAAAGCGAGCGGAATAATGTCCGCGTTGAAACACTATAAATTTACGAGCACGCGGCCGCCACCGCCGCTCTCGAATCCCCTATTGTGCGTCCGTCGACGAGCGACGTTCGCGACGAGCTCGGCCCCTTTTATTTTTCGCTCGGACGCTTTATTCGCCCCGCGGAGAAGAGAGGAGAGCACACGCACCGGCCGCGGGTGTCGTCGTTTTTTAGCGGCGACGTTACCCCGCCATTGGCCGCTATGACACTCGCGCGGAGCAACCCGGTTGCCCATTTGCGGAGCACTCGTGCTCCCGGTGTCCGGTCCCGATTTCCATTTACACAGGCCGCCGCGCGACACTCTTACCCTTAAACGGTCCAATTAAACGCGCCCCGAACCGTGTAACTATCTCCGGGAATTTCGGGGCCGATATCGCGGCCGGGTAACGCGCCGCGAACGCAATATCCGTCCCGGCGATGGTTTTCGACGACCGTGGGACCGAGCCGGAACACGACAGCCACGGAAAGTTCCCTCCAGGTAAACCGTCGCTGACGGGCAACCCGCGCCGGCATCGTCCCGGATTCGTCGGAATAGTTAATAAATTTGACAAGGATCGCGTGCAGGTATCACCCCGGGCGGACTAACCGCGCGGAACGTTAACGGGAACACGCCGATTATTTCCGGCCTGTATCCGAACGGAACACTCGTTTCCGGCGGATTATTAGCCGGATTGCTTTGCTGTAGTCTCGCTGTTTATCGTCCGCGCGAGCTGGCGAAGCGCGATCGCCGAAAATCGGTTGATCGGCATTGAAGGTGGATACGAAGTGTCACAATTTTTCTGCACGCGAGAAGTGAAATTGAGATCGTCTTTTGGCTCGTTGTAAATACAATAGGGAGAAAACGGGTGGTCGACGACGTCGTTTAATAATGGTGTCAGATATTGGTATCGTCGATTGATACATTGATTTAATCGATGCGATCGATTTTATGCATTGGGAATTTGTGGTATAGGCGAAATAGCGAAAGTATTGGAGTATTATTTTTTTACTGGGCCATATTTCTCGTTGACATAATTAACCCCTTGTCGTAATATTTTTTAGTAATAACTTATTTAGTACAGATGTTATTCTGTCCTTTAAAATTGGAATAAAATTCTAATCTCTCGTCATCGATATTTTTAAGCGTTCGAGTAAATTAGGCACACGATAAGCATTAGTTTTCTTTCTCTTCTAAGAAATTAGTGCGATCGAAAAATTTCCAATCGCTGCAACTGCGATGAAAATGAGAAATCGAGAGGTTTAATTATTATCATTATTACTATTACTATTATATATTTATTTATATACTTATTTATATTTATTTTATTTATATAAATAAATATAAATGAATATAAATGTAAATATATATAAATATAAATATAAATGAATATAAATGTAAATATATATATAAATATGAATATTTATTATATTTATACATTTATATTTTACGTCTCTATTAAAATAGGTATAATATAATGAATGCAACACAAAAACTAGAAGGAGATAAGGCTTCCTAACGGTGGGGGTTCACTGGACCCCCGCGCGTGCACTGCCGGTTCGAGATGATCAAGAAAGTTGCAATCGCGAAGTGCTGCTTCGAAATCACGGGCCCGAGCGACGTAACGTTATTCTTAGAGTGCTGTTAGATGCATGTGGCCTCCAGCCGAAGACGNAAATATATATAAATATAAATATAAATGAATATAAATGTAAATATATATAAATATAAATATAAATAAATATAAATGTAAATATATATATAAATATGAATATTTATTATATTTATACATTTATATTTTACGTCTCTATTAAAATAGGTATAATATAATGAATGCAACACAAAAACTAGAAGGAGATAAGGCTTCCTAACGGTGGGGGTTCACTGGACCCCCGCGCGTGCACTGCCGGTTCGAGATGATCAAGAAAGTTGCAATCGCGAAGTGCTGCTTCGAAATCACGGGCCCGAGCGACGTAACGTTATTCTTAGAGTGCTGTTAGATGCATGTGGCCTCCAGCCGAAGACGAAGAGTAGCTACCACGCTGCTCCGACCGGTTTCTCTGCACCGTACAGTCACTCTCCGACAGAGATACCAACCGGACATCGGGAACGATGGCGCCGTGCAGGCCCTGGCATAGTCAGCGTCCCTCGAATTCTCTCGATACATCATTCTTTCAATTTCGTAACAAAAAGCACGTCCGAAAAGAAGATCCTGCGAGGAACACACTAGTCATTTTGAAACAGAAAACTTGCTTTCGTAAGCATTTAAATTGATCGAAGATGTAGATGATCGGATAACGGAGTTGTTACAGTGAATTCTCTGCAATTGTCTTGTGAGCTTGTAAACAAAAATGGACAATTTGGGAATAGGAGATGCGATTATTCGAGCCTCGCGGCTCTTTTTTGTAGTCGTTGACAATCAGCGACTCCTTTTCCCAAATTATTCATTTTTTTGATTACGAGCTGAAGGAGATAATGGGACATAATTTACTGTACTTAGGTACAGCGCTAATTACTCATCGATTTCTATAATAAATCGTGATGCATGCAGGGTAGTTCAAGCGATCGAGAATTATGACACCGAAATTCAGCCGAAACTTAACGCTAGCACTGCATTCGTTAACCCTCAATTTTTGCCCTTCTCTTCCCCGTAAAATAGAATAGTCGCTTGCCGCCAAAAATTGCTCAAATCAGTATAATAATTAGTAGTAGCAGTATCAGTATAGTACAGTAAATTTTATTGGCGCTTCACGTTGTAGTAAATCGAGCGAGCATTATAATAAGTAAACAGCGGATCTTCGTGAAAAATAAAAATCGGGCGCGTCGACCGTAAGAAAGAGAAGTTGAACGAAATTGTTTTCCTTCTTCGCACACTTTCGATAAGTTTCGGATAACGTGAGAACGTTCTTGGGTACTTTCAACGTCTTCATTGTTCGGTGCTTCGCCTTCGGTCGATTGCAGCACAAGTCTCGTACGAAGTCTGAATAAACGCAGCGTGTCTCGGGTGCACGGTTGCACTAGCGTTGGCTAACTTCGAATTGCACATCGTAGGCAAATAAATGATTATCTTCGGCCGAGAGCGGCGACCCGGCGCGGTCGCATCGTGCAACAACAAGCGCGAGAACTGGTATCGAGTAATGTGGGTGGTAGTTGCTCGAGGACAGATAAAAAGTAAAAGTCGGTCGACGATTTCGAGCGGCGAGGATCGCTGGATCGGCTGAACAAGCAAAATACGAATGGCGGGGTGTATATCCTCGGGTCGGCGAACGAGGGCCGGGAGGGTGGCAGGACGAACGGGGGACGGGGGAGGGGGCAAGTTTGATGGAAAAGTTTTATCTGGGATCGCGACGGCGTTTCATACTCATTTTGTGGTCCTTTTATCGGAGCCGGGGACGCGCGGGCAGGGGGCGCGCCCCGAGTTATTACTATTAGAAGGTGGGCGGACGAGGAACGAAGAATTACATTTTGGCCTCTGTAAGTAAGCAAATATAAATTTTACGGAAGCGTCGATAAAATTCTGAAAGTTCGTCAGTTTCTTATCGGCGGCCGGCTCGCCGAGCGGCGTTTTACGTTGCTTGCGCACCGCGTTATCTCGACAATGCTCCGCGGATACCTGT